TATATATATACATATATACATACACAAACACATACACACACACACACACACACACACACACACACACACACACACACACACACACATATATATATATATATATATATATATATATATATATATATATATATATATATATATATATATATATATATATATATATATATATATTATATATATATATATATATATATATATATATATATATATACATAATATATATATGTATGTATGTATTACCAAAGAAATACCCGTTACAGTTATTCCTTTGACCTGAAAAAAAAATCTATAAGTGCAAATCATAAATTAATGTATTATTTCTTTGTTCACTACCAAAAAATATACATTATAGGTGCATTATTGTTAAAAAAAGAGAACATTTAGTCTGTCCTTTGCCGAAATATCAATGCCAGGAATCGAAAGAGGACAGTCCGTATCAGCGCTGATCTGCGTTCCTAATAAAACCTAAATTCGACACGAGCACTCTCATAGCATCAGTGTGGGGCTTCGGCGACAATGTATTCTCATAGCCAATATATATGAATTCTTGAATATTTAAATAGTAAGATTTTAAGTTCATGAAACTCAGATGTGAAAACTGGTGTATGTTCAAAACACGGATGCCCCCCCCCACTTCCGCGTGACATTTGGTTTTCTAGTCTTACAGTTGGCCGTTTCACATGATTAATTAAGGCCTTCGTCATTTGAGATTATCATTAACACTCTTATATTTTCATTACATTTTTGTAATCATTCAAATATCCAAGATGTGTCATATTCATGGTCTGAAGGATAATTTTGTCCCCTGGGATAATCATAGGGAGCCCTCAGGGTGATAAGAAGCATTATTAACCAGTGAAATTATGATCGCCATGAAGATAAATTATATCATACACAATTAGCTACCTACATAAAATTAGTTTTGATTAAATCATGCTGGGTTGTTTTTCCTTTTTTTATACAAGTGCTCAAATAAATCCATAGAAATCTGTGCATAATTTCAAAAGATCTGCAAAAGACTCTATGCAGTGAGGATATGAAGTGAGTATGCATTTCTCGGATTTTAAATCGTGAAATAATTGATAACGGTATGATAAGTAACAGGAAAAGCAGAGTAATGGTAGAATTAATGATAATTTATACCAGCACAATTCGCTGATATAGATATTGCTCATCTATTATATACAAAATACTGCCTATACTGTTCTGAATCATATAGTAAGTTTTTAAAAACAACTGTTGATTAGTTCATTTTATTTATCATTACAGAAACAAGCAACAGGTAACAAAACGAATTAAAATTAGATGAAATCTCATTCCATCTCCTTTTTTGGTATAAAACTCCATTTCGAAAAAAACTCTAAGATGGAGGACCATAGAGACCACTGCCTGAAGCCCTTCCGCTACCCCCATTACCGCCAAAAGCACCAGCGCCAATTCCATGACCACCAGCACCTCCACTTCCGCTGCCACCAAATCCACCTCCAAATCCTCCGGCGCCACCGGAACCGCCTCCAAATCCTCCAGCACCTCCGGAACCGCCTCCAAATCCTCCAGCGCCACCGGAACCGCCTCCAAATCCTCCGGCCCCACCGGAACCGCCTCCAAATCCTCCGGCGCCACCAGAACCGCCTCCAAGTCCTCCAGCGCCACCACCGATTCCTCCCCCAGCACCTCCGGAGCCTCCGATAACCTGACCGCCGGCTTCAGCAGCTGCCTGGAGAGCAGTCTGAAGATCCACTCCAATAGGAAGAGTGGGATTTTCTCCCTCTTCGTAGTTGACGAAATATACCTCAGGATTTGAAGGAGGTGCAACTGTCACCTCGATCACGCGCTGGCCTCCGTCACCTCCGCTCTTGTTTAGAACGTAGACAATGTTTTCCTGTTTTGGTGGTGGAACAATGATGGGTTCGGGTCCTGGGCCTTCTTCAGGAATGCGTACGAACAGGATATTGTGATCCACCCTCGGCGGTGGAATACTTGGTGGAGGTCCACTTTCCCCTTGAGGCTGTTCGGGAGCATCGTAAACGAACACATTTCTTGTAACGATGGGAACGACGCACGATCCGTCTACGTGTAGGATCTCGCCTTCTCTGCAGGCTCCCCCGGAACCTCCGCCCCCATAACCTTGTCCAGATGAAGACCCTCCACCGGCGGAGAATGCACTTCCTCCATTGGCGGAAAGTCCACCTCCACCGCCGGAGATTCCACTTCCTCCAGAGAATCCTCTGCCTCCGCCACTGGAGGAACCTCCTCCACCTTGAACGCCATGGGAAAATCCTCTTCCAGAGGGCGCTGCTAGATTATATCCTTGAGGAGCAGCGATGCACGTTGCAAGCAAAGCCAAGGAAATGATCTGCAAAGAATGTTTTTCTTTGTAAAATTATGAAAATGATACCGAAAATCATTAAAATGTAATGTAATTTTATCCATTTGGAAATATATTGACAAGATAATAGTAATAGTATCCTCTATTGAATGTTATCTCTGTATGTGCGTGCGTGCTGATTTAATTAACCAAATTAAGTAAGGAATCTGCAATAATATATCTAATGCATCTAAAGGCGAGATGCTGAGAGAGAAGCGCTTACTAAGAACTTCATGGTGAAGGAATATACTGACCTGAAATGCACATCACCTTATATACTTCCAGTTTCTCTGCGGAATCCCTTTCTCCTATTTAAGACTTTCATGCCTACGTATGAAAATGCGGTTGCTAAGAAAGATTATGCCCTAAAAAGTCTAGCATCCACTTGACAAAAGGTCGCAAAGATCTACACACATGCACATACGTATCTGCATGTGATTGGACATATACAGCTTACACGTGTACACAGATAAGAAATTGTTTAGTTGAAAACGGAATTGATAAGTGACTGGAAATTACCAAGGCGCTCGTCGTAGATGTTGCCCTATGAGTTTTAATTATAGAAATGATAAATGATAAAAACAAACGGTTCAATGGAAATATGAAACTATATCAAAAATGGAACAGTACTACAATTCGACCTTTCTCGTCTTTTGTGAGCGATTCGTGGAACCATAGATTAGCATTTTACAACCAGGACATTCATTTAATTTACCGAAACGCAATGTAGAGAATATAGAAATACACAAAGAATTTTATAATACGAATGCACAAATCCATCTCTAATATTATCATGCATGACCCACGCAGGCAAGCGAGGGCGTCATGCTGGGGGTATCGGAAGGAAAGATAATTAAAGGAACTATAGGAAAGAATAACGTCATCTTATATTTTTAAAGAATCATTGATAACATAATTGCCAAATGTTTCAACAAAGAAGGGATAAAATCTGTAATGACCATCACTAATACTATTACATCCCGATCACTTCATTCATCATTTCATCAACATTATTATCAAAATACTGCCCACATAAACATCACTTTTTATTCTTGTTCATTATTCGTCATAATGAAATAAAATTAAAACGGCACTTATTCTTTTTACCACTGCTTTACACATGAAATCCATCTTGGTGAAACAAATCTAAAATAAAGGTAAACAATCCTTAGAATGTCTACCTTTTTTCATTACATGACAAAAAGACAGCATCTGCCGCCTTTGGTGACCAGTCATCCTGTAGCGCAAGCGTCCTGGATTTGAAGGTGAAGCAGACTGACTTGCTTCGCATTACAGGGAGTAGAATGAAATAAGATGAAGCTGATAAAGATGAGAGTAAAAAAAAAAAAAAAAAAAAAAAAAAAAAAAAAAAAAAAAAAAAAAAAAAAAAACTGCGATATTATTTATGCTAATACTGTTATTGTAAGCAATGTTCCTTCACCACTTACTGTAGAGTAGTGGCTTTAGCAATTTTTGGTATTGTTACCCCAGGCACTGTTGTGATAGATCCATTGATCCATTGCCACAACTCTTACTACATTCGTCTACATGTATGTGAAGCTATCAAAAAGAAAAATGCTGTAATACTTTTATTGAAATGTATTTTTTTTTTTTTACTCAAGAAATACCCATACCCAATACAGTTATTCCTTTGACCGGAAAAAAAGAAACATCTACAACATAATTGCAAATTGTCAATTAATTTTAATTTCCTTTTTTTATTAAAATAAATATATGTACACATTAGTGATACATTATCAATGAGAAACATTGTCTTGTCTGTCATGTGAAATATAAGAGCCAAGGTCGAGAGAGAACAGTTCTTATCGTTTATCAACATCTGCGTCTTATTACTAGCTGATGTCTTGAAATCAGCCTTACAAGTACTTCATGAACAATAATTGTCTATTTAGTTTTATAGGTATTCCATCATTTACTTCCCCCAAAAAATATATATACCAGTTTACAATAATAATATTAATAATAAAAAAAATCTCGTTTGCACCCAGAAATGGCTTCATCAACTCCCCCCCCCCCCCTTGAAATGACTGCTGTAGGACATGATCGTGACACCCCAAGTTATTGTTTCACTGATATGGACGACACATCATGATCAACATTAGTGTCTCAAGGATTTTAAACCGCTAAATAATGTCCAAACTGAAATGGGGTAAAATTCACCAGAACCCGGGCACTCTAAAACGTACTATTCCACAAATTTTCCTCAGTGAGACTGGGCTTGTCTCTCAGAGCAGAGCTTTCGCGATCGCATTACTGAACTTGACCATGGAGAATGTAAAGCCAAGGGCCTTAATGCTAAAACAAATATGTATGTAAATTGATGTATTATTTATTGTTCACTAAAAAGTCTGTGCATTATTGGTACATTATTAATAAAAAAAGAACATTGTTTTCTCTGTCCTTTGACGAAATATCAATGCCAGGGATAGAGAGGAGAGTTCATATCGATATTAGCGCTGACCTGCGTTCCTTCTAAAACCAAAATTCAACATGAATACTGCCATAGCATCAAGGTGGGGCTTCGGCTACAGTGTATGTATAAGTTCATAGCCAATATATATGAATTCGAGAAAATATAAATAGTGAGATATTAAATTCTTTCATGTTCAAATCAGACCTTCCTCATTTGAGATTATCATTAACACTTACTTTTTTATTTCGTTTCTGTAATCAATCAAATATTAAAGATGTGTCATATTCATGATCTGCAAGATGATTGTGTTCTCTGGGATGATCATAAGTAGTCCCCAGGGTTATAAGAAGAATTATTAACCAGTGAAATTGTGATCGTCATGAAGATAAATGTCGTCATATACATTTAGCTACCTACACAATACTAGTTTTAGTTTCTTTTTTTATATACAAAGTGATCTAATAAATCCATAGAAATCTATGAATATTTTCAATACTTCAAGAGTGTAATGATTGAATTTACCATACATACACATTTACGTTGTTGAATATTAAGATCTGCACAAGATCTGCAGCGAAGATATGACGGTAGTGAGTATGCATTTCTCGGATTTTAACTAGTGAAATAATTGATAGCGGTATAATAACTAACACGACAGTAAGAGTAATGGTAGTATTAATGATAATTATATGCAAACACAATTCGCGGATATATTATATACAAAACACTGCCTACTGCCTATACTGTTCTGAGTCATATAGTAAGTTTTTGAAAACAACTGTTGATTAGTTCATTTTATTTATCATTACAGAAACAAGCAACAGGTAACAAAACGAATTAAAATTAGATGAAACCTTAATCCATCTCCTTTTTTGGTATAAAACTCCATTTCCAAAAGGTCTTTAAGATGGAGGACCATAAAGACCACTGCCTGAGCCCCTTCCGCTACCCCCATTACCGCCAAAACCACCACCACCACTTCCGCTGCCTCCAAATCCTCCAGCGCCACCGGAACCGCCTCCAAATCCTCCAGCGCCACCGGAACCGCTCCAAATCCTCCGGAACCGCCTCCAAATCCTCCAGCGCCACCGGAACCGCCTCCAAATCCTCCAGCTCCCCCGGAACCGCCTCCAAATCCTCCGGCGCCACCGCCGATTCCTCCCCCAACACCTCCGGAGCCTCCGATAACCTGACCGCCGGCTTCAGCAGCTGCCTGAAGTGCAGTCTGAAGATCCACTCCAATAGGAAGAGTGGGATTTTCTCCCTCTTCGTAGTTGACGAAATATACCTCAGGATTTGAAGGAGGTGCAACTGTCACCTCGATCACGCGCTGGCCTCCGTCACCTCCGCTCTTGTTTAGAACGTAGACAATGTTTTCCTGTTTTGGTGGTGGAACAATGATGGGTTCGGGTCCTGGGCCTTCTTCAGGAATGCGTACGAACAGGATATTGTGATCCACCCTCGGCGGTGGAATACTTGGTGGAGGTCCACTTTCCCCTTGAGGCTGTTCGGGAGCATCGTAAACGAACACATTTCTTGTAACGATGGGAACGACGCACGATCCGTCTACGTGTAGGATCTCTCCTTCTCTGCAGGCTCCCCCGGAACCTCCGCCCCCATAACCTTGTCCAGATGAAGACCCTCCACCGGCGGAGAATGCACTTCCTCCATTGGCGGAAAATCCACCTCCACCGCCGGAGATTCCACTTCCTCTACTGGCGGAAAATCCACCTCCACCGCCGGAAATTCCACTTCCTCCAGAGAATCCTCTGCCTCCGCCACTGGAGGAACCTCCTCCTCCTTGAACACCATGGGAAAATCCTCTTCCAGAGGGCGCTGCTAGATTATATCCTTGAGGAGCAGCGACACACGTAGCGAGCAAAGCCAAGGAAATGATCTGCACAGAATGAAGTCATCCTTAAATTTTTCAATATTAAAATTATACTGAAAATCAATACATTGTATTGTAATATAATCCATTTAAATTCTAACAAAAAATCAAAGATAATAATAACGGTAATTGTTTCCTCTAATGAATGGTATCTCTGTGTGTGTGTGTGTGTGTGTGTGTGTGTGTATGTGTGTGTGTGTGTGTGTGTGTGTGTGTGTGTGTGTGTGTGTGTTGACTAATTAATCAAATTAAGTAGGAAATCTGTAATAATAAATCCAGTACATCTAAATACAAGGAGCAGTGAGAGTAGCTCTTACTAAGAACTTCATGGTGGAAGAATATACCGACTTGAATTGCACATCATCTTATATACTTCCAGTTTCCCCGCTCTGCGGAATCCCTTTCCCCTTCCATTTCAGACTTTCATACCTGGGTATGAAAATGCAATCGGTAAGAAAGATGATACCTTTAAAAATCTAGTATGCACTCGAAAAAAATCGCAAAGACCTATATACGTGCATATCTGTATATGTAGTAGGGCATACGCATCTTACAGATAAGAAATTGTATAGTTCAAAACCGAATGATTACGTAATGGGAAACTACCAAGGTTACGTTTAGATGGATTGTGTCTATTGTCTATCATTCCAAATCCCTATTTGGAAAGCCCATCCTTTTATAATACATGGCGTGGATCTAAATAATAATTTATGCTGATAATGTCCCATGGTTGTTTGTTATTGAAATTGTAAATGCTAAAAAAAAAAAAAAAAAAAGAAAAGAAAACAGAAAATAGTTAAATGAAAC